GCATTTACAATTGTTGTTATTGCAGTTACTGTTGTTGTTATTTGCTACTAACATGCATACTGTAGTATATCGTATTACTTACACAGTCGACAATAGTAAATATCTGTTTGGATTTGCACGGTGAAAAAGCATGTCAATAGATTTGCAGACTACTGCATTAGTTAGCATATATTTGAGATACAAATAACAAAAAAAAAAGCTTTACATACTGCATTAGATGAAAGTGTAGTAAATATTTTTACACTTTAAAGTGCTGAAAAGGTTAATTTAATACACTAAATCCTGAAGTTTGTGCTGCATTTCTTGCACTAAGTCGTTGTAAGAACTAAGAAGTGTAGATTTAAAAAACACTTTATATGATAGCAAGATACCACAACCTAAAAAATTTTAGGTATAGGAAAATAGTTTTCTAAATAGTTCTAAATAGTTTTCCAAACAGTTTCCAAAACAATCTAAAAATAGTTTATTTAGATATTTAAGGCAGTAGTCACTTCTAAAGACTATGGATGGTGAATATTTAACAGTATCCGAAACAAAAGTCAGTTCAAGAAATCACTATTAAATGTATTGATTGAATATTAAAAAAAGGTATGAATATTAAAAAAAAAAATTTAATTCGATCATTTCTCTCTTTTCCTATTCTATATGTACGACAAAAATTATTCTAAATAATTTTTTAAAACACACAGTGGACCTCTTGGTGGACCATTTCTTTTTACACAAGGCTATATACCTTATGGTTTTAAAAGTAAACGTTAATAACCAACCACCCAAAGTCAACTTATGATCTGAACTACGATCATATCTTTATATAAGCATATTGTTTGGTCCTTACCATTAGGTATGAAATACAACATCATTTAAAGTATATTATTTCTATGCGGAATATTCTACAATACTGGAAAGTTACTTGATACGGAGAAGCAACAGTTCGATCATAACGTGACGAATGTTTCTCTTCCAAAAGTTGAGTGTTTCAGGGTTTCATTTAAGAAAAAAACCCTTCCAAAAAACAATAGCTCGCAAAAAATTTGATCGATTTTCGTCTTTAAGGTGGCAAAAATAAATTTAGTTATCATGTAGCTATAGTGATCTGAATTAATGGTTTATATGATACTTTCAATTCGATACTTTGATGCGATATTTTCAAAAATATATACGCCCAACACACCTTCAGATCTAATGTCACAACATACAGTGACTTTTTGTATATGTAATGATCTTTCTACAGTTACTACAGCTATACTTCCAAACAGAAAACCTTATAGTGACTTTTGGTCGATGTAAAGGTCTCTCGACAATGAGACACTTTTACCTACCATAACTTAAAAGTGTCTTCGTTGACACTTTTTCAAACAACAACTTATTTTTAGTTGAAATGCGTTTTAATGATGTATAGGGTTTAAATCATCTACCACAGATGTAATTTATTCTTCACAATTTTGTCTATACTACTCTTAGATAGACGACTATGTTCACCATAATTTCCTCTCAATGCAGGAAATAAACCAATTAGTGTGTTATCAAATTTTAACATATTTAGTAGTTCCTGAAAGATCCATGTTGTGAATTGACATATCTTAAACAGAGTACTTTTTTTTTATTGTCACTATCATATTATTTCGCCATCATATTTAAAATACCTTGAGTGATAGTTATTCATAAGATACCTTACTAAAGTATTCTACAAAATTAAAACCACGAAATGGACCTATTGGATTTTAAGATTTAACGTATTGAACTCTTTATTTTTAAAAGCGTTTATATTGCATTGTATAAAAATATAATATATTCTTTTTTATTCTCTTAAAAACAATTACTAACCTAACCTGTCTCGCATAATTCATAAGGAATTAAAGGCTTTCCTTTATGTCAACTACATAATACAAGCATTTTTCTATCTTTAATCCGAACCCTTTTAAGAAAATACTTAAAATTTATTGTTTATGACTGGAAAAATATTACAAAACATTTTATTGCTTAATTAGCATTTTTAACATATTTTATACTTGGAGAATGTTTAATTCAACAAAACGAATTCCATTGTCATATCGACAATAAAAATGTCACTAGTGCACACTTAAAAGCTGTTTTCATATAAACCAAAAGATATTGAGACATAAAAATATGCTCATCTGTGATGTTTAGTGTCATAATGACCCATATTTATGCAAATAGAATTTTGTAATAATCGTTTGGAATTACAATAAAATTATGTATTAAAAAGCACATCACCACAACGAGTGTAGATATAGACCATCACA